AGCAACGACTCAAGACTTATGAAAACCGCTTTTCTCCTCTTTCCCGATCCTTTACGGTTACGGTTAAAGCCCCACACACCTCAAATTCCAGGTCCTTCGCCCCGGTATACATCTGTTTCGACCCCAATCTCAACAAGTGTCCCCTTTCCTCTGTGTCCCCCAGTCTTCCCTCAGTCCTGGGTTCAGCCATCCGCGCTTCCTCCGTTCCTCTTCGTCCATTTCCCGCCTCAGGCCAGCTGCTGTTTATTTTAGGTCATGCCTGGAGGTGAGCAGAGGGATGAGCGGGTGGGGAGGACAGTTGGACAACAGTAGGGTCAGGTCTTCAAGAAGGAAGACGGGTGACCAAGGGGCTCATCTTTTCACAGCTAAACATGCCCAGAGTCCAGAGAAAGGGGGCGTCTGCATTACTGAAGACCTTATCACCAAGAGGAACTTGACCTTCCCTGAGGATGAAGATCTGTCTGAAAAGACGTGAGTGGTTGAGGGAGCAGAGGGGTGCTGGAAGGTGGAAGCACAGATGTCCAGTTCCCGGAACTGTAGTGATCTGTAACTTATACTTGAGTTACTCCGCTCTCCAGTCAGTGATAATATACGATTGATTTCTCTTCTTAAAAGATTTTTTTCTTTTTTATCATCCTCAGCTGCCTTAGTAAAGCTGTCAGCACCTCTCAGCAGACTCATAATTCATCTCCCTGTTCTCTGCCTGGCCTCCCCACAATTGTTACCCAATTAATTGATCCTTACAAATGATAAATCTGATCACTCCCTGGTAGAAACTTCCTCAGCAACCTATTGCCTCCAGAATAAACTCCAACTGCTCTAACATGAACTGACCTTATTTCCAGCCACACTCCACAAATGTGCAATTTCTCACACTATGTTCTTGCTCCTTATTACTCAGAGATGGGGGATAGCTTGGCATCACCTGGCAGGGGCTTATTAGACATGAAGAATCTCAGCACTCAGGAGGCAGAGGTAGGGAGATCTCTGTGAGTTCAAGGCGAGCCAGCTTGGTCTATCTAGGCCACCTGGGGCTATAAGGGAGACCTTGTCTCAAAAAGACCAAAAGAAAAGAAAAAGGAAAAGGAGGAGGAGGAAGAAGAGGAGGAGGAAGAGGAAAGACAAAAAGAGAAAAAGGAAGAGTCTCTAGCTGGTGATGTAGGTCAGCAGATAGAACACTTGCATAGCATGCACAAAGCCCTGGATTTGATACCTAGCATCACATAAAGCTAGGCATGCTAGTGCATACCAGTAATCCCAGCCCTCAACAGGTAGAGATAAGAAAATCAAAGTTCAAGGTCATCCTTGGCTACATAGTGAATTTTCAGACACCCCAGGATACATGAAGCCCTTCCTTTAAAAAAAAATGGGAAGGAGGCTTATCCCAGATCTACTGAATCAGAATTTGCATTTTCCAGTATCTAAAAGACTCATAGGCACATTGAAGCTCAAGGGCTGGATTAGCACATGCATGTACTATTTGTTCTGCTTGAAAAGCCTTCTCCCTACTCCTCTCCCATTGCCAACCCTTTTATAACCTCAGCTAGCAAGTTGCTCCTGATCCCTCCCCTTTGGAGTTGGTACAAAGCCTATGTAACCCTTTCTTCTTTGTACTATCTTCTGGTATCCACTTGTAGATACTTGGCCTGTTTCCCTAATAATGACAGGCAGGGAACTCTATATTCATCTGTAGGAGACACTCAGTAAATGTTGTAGAAATAACGAATGTATGGATGGGACAAGTGATTTTCCCTCGAAAGGGGGCAAGGAAGATTCTTCCAAAAGATAGGAGAGTATTTCTGTGGCCAACCCCCACCCCATCCACCCTCCCAAGATAGCCATGGAAGGCTTCCCTTGTTCTGAATCTTCAGGAACCATGAGCAGCCATCCATCAGTTGCCTAGAGGGCACTTTGTCATCTTTTGCTCTGATCTTTCTTGGTACCACTGATAGAGAACAGTTGTGTGTCTGAGACCAGCCAGTTTCATGAGCTAGACATCACTTCCCAGTCAAGAAGCTGTTATTGACGTCTGATCAAAACCACTTAGCCCTCTTCCCTTCCTTGAAACATGTCCCCTCCTCTTCCCTCCCTTCCATCTTCTAAGAAACCACAGATGTGAACTCCGACACCCACTCTGCCCACTTTTCTCCAGGTTTCATACCCTTGATGAACTGGAGACAGTCCGCTTGGACCGGGAAGGGATTACTTCTATCAGGAATTTAGAGGGGCTCCAGAATATTCACAGCCTCTATCTGCAAATGGTAAAGTACAGCCCCCCTGCCATTTCTTTTCTCTCTTTGCTGTGGACCAAGTCTGTCTGACCTGAAAACAGCTAAATGGGTCATCTTTTTGCATTTCTGTTTAGGCAGACAGACTTTTGTTAAAACCATTCCCAAATGAATCAGGAAATCCTTCTGACTTAAAAGACTGATCCTCCAAAAAAGATCCTGAACATGCCCTTGAGTCACTATTCAGCCAGACACTTCTCTTGGTCTTAGAAATTCTTAGGCACAAGCCTGTTTCCAGTTGGGCATGGTGGCATATACACCTGTAATCTCAGCACTCAGGAGGCTGAGGCAGGAGGATCACAGAGTTGAAGCCAGCCTGGGCTACACAGGAAGTTCCAGCCACCCTGCTCTACACAAGACCCTGTCTTAAAAATAAATATATGGTGGCCGTAGAGACGCTCAGCAGGCAAAGGTGCTTGCCACCCAGCATGATGGGCCTGAGTGCAAGTGGGACCTACACATTGGAAGGATAGAACTTATTCCAGCAAGTTGTTCTCTGATCTCCACACTTGTGTCATGGTATACACACCCTCACACACATCATTAAAAATTTTTAAATAGTCAGGCGTGGTGGCACACATCTTTAATCCCAGCACCCAGGAAGCACTGGTAGGTAGTGCTCTGTGAGTTCAAGGCCAACCTGATCTACACAGCCAGATAGGATCACATAGTGAGACCGTATCTCAATTTTTTTTTAACTTTTTAAAACAATTTTATTATTTTATGTGTATGCTGTATTGCCTGCATGTAGGTAAGTACACCTGTGTCGTGCAGTGCCTGAGAAGGATGGAAGAGGCCATCGAATGCCCTGGGACTGGAGTTACAGACAGTCGTTAGCTGCCATGTGGGTGCTAGGATTTGAACCCGGGTCTTCTGCAAGAACAACCAGTGTTCTTAACCGCTGAGCCATCTCTCCAACCCCCATCTCAATTTTTTAAAAATTATTATTATTATATGTGTATGAGTGTATTGCCTGTACCCGTGTTGTGCAGTGCCCACAGAGGTCAGAAGGGGGCATCAGAACTGGTGTTACAGTTGGTTGTTAGCCACCATGTGGGTGCTGGGAATCAAACCCAGGTCCTCTGTGAGAACAGCCAGTGCTCTTAACCACTGAGCCATCTCTCCAGTCCCCTCAACAAACTGTTTTTTTAAAAAATATTTTATGTCGGCGTGGTGGCGCACGCCTTTAATTCCAGCACTTGGGAGGCAGAGGCAGGGGGATTTCTGTGAGGTTAAGGTCAGCCTGGTCTACATAGTGAGTTCCAGGACAGCTGGGGCTACAGGGAGACCCTGTCTCAAAAAAAAAAAAAAAGACAAAAACAAAACAAAAACAAAAAAATATTTTATTATTTTTATTTTATGTATATGCGTGTATTGCCTGTATGTAGGTAAGTGCACCCGTGTCGTGCAATGCCTGTGGAGGACAGAAGAGGCTGTCCCCTGGAACTGGAGTTACAAACAGTTGTTCGCTGCCATGTGGGTGCTGGAATTCAAACCCAGGTCTTCTGCAAGAACATTCAGTGTTCTTAACTGCTGAGCCATCTCTCCAGCCCCAACAAATTGTTTTTAATGATAAAGGACTCATATCCTGTTTTGAAAAAGAGCAAGAGAAAACAAGGTTCTCCTATGTCCTGCATTCTTCAGGTCCTTGATGGTAGTGGAGGTTGGCTAATCTTCATCCTTTCCTAAGATGAATATGCCCTGTGCCCTTAAACTATCCTATAGAAACCTTGTGAATCAAAGTAATATGGTCAGGCTGGAGAGTTGGCTCAGCAGTTAAGAGCCCTGGCTGCTCTTGCAGAGGACCTGGGTTTGAGTCCCAGCACCCACATGGCGGCTAACAACTGTCTGTAACTCTGGCTCCAGGGGAACCCAATGCCCTCTTCTGGCCTTCTCAGGCATTACATGACACAGGTGCACTTAACACACATTTTAAAAAGTAGTAAATGGGGCTGAAGAGATGGCTCAGCAGTTAAGAACACTGGTTGTTCTTGCAGAAGACCCAGGTTCAAATCCCAGCACCCACATGGCAGCTAACAACTGTCCATAACTCCAGTTCCAGGGGATCTGATAGCGTTTTCTGTCCTCTGCGGGCATTGCATGACACAGGTGCACTTACCTACATGTAGGCAATACACTCATACACATAAAATAATAGATAAAATATTTCATCCCCCAAATGCAATCGCTGTAGCTCTGAAAGTTGACCTGGTCTTAGGGCTTCATCCCCTTAAAAGACCGCCCCCACCCAGCTGACCTTAACTTGGTTTCCCATCTTGGTTTGTTCCTGCAGAATAAGATCCAGCGAATTGAGAACCTGGCTTGCATCCCCTCCCTGCGGTACGTGGTGCCAAGGCTCAGGCAGTGAAGGAGTAAGGAGTGGGTGGTGGGAAACTGGCAACACCCTAGACCTGGCTCAGAGCTCTCCACTCTGAGACACCAACAAGCTTAGCTCTGCTTTCCTCACCCCCACAAGGCTATATGTCCCCCCTGGTCAACCAGCTGCCTATGCAGGGGAGCCCAGGTACCTGGTGACCTCCTCCCCTCATCCAGCTACCCTATAACTCAGCCCTGTGTCTTCCCCTCTCCTTCTTCCCTGGCAGCTTCCTGTCTCTGGCAGGAAACCAAATCAAGCAGGTGGAAAACCTCCTGGACCTCCAGTACCTCCAGTTTCTGGACCTTTCTGAGAACATGATAGAAATACTGAAGCTGGGTAGGAACAAGGAACACCCTTATCCCCCTCTCTGCCCCAAGGTCCTTGTGCTTCTCTCTCTCTCTCTCTCTCTCTCTCTCTCTCTCCCCCTCTTCTTCTCTCTCTTTTCCATGTGGGGTCCTCCCTCCTCTCTGCCCCAAGGTCCTTGTGCTTTTACTTCATACACAAACACACACACACACACACACACACACATACACACACACACATTTCCATGTGGGATCCTCCCTCCTCTCTGCCCCAAGGTCCTTGTGTTTTTACTTTACATGCATGCATGTGCATTTCATCTTCAGGGGTCCAGAGCAGAAATGAGACCCTGATTTGTTCTCTCTGTTATGCAGATGAGCTGCCCCAGAGCCTTCTCATCCTCAACCTGTCTGGAAACCCCTGCACCAATCAGGATGGCTACAGGTGAGGAGGGGCTGAGAGTGGGAGCAAAGATGTGCTGGCTGAGCCCAGGAAAACATTCTCAGCCTGGAAACCTGGGGTCCATTGCTCCCCCTCCTCCTCCCCAGTAGACCAAGTCCTCCCCCTCCCCCATAGACCAAGTCTGTCCCTTTCCAGTCCCATATCCAGCACCTCACAGGAGTCAACCTTCTGCTCTTTGGCCCATTTCCTAGCCTGTGAGTGACACTCTTCCAGGTGTGGGTGTTGTAGCACATGCCACTGCACCCCTCAGGTTCCATACCAGGGGTGCCATGTGGGTTATGTAACCTCTCTTCCTTCTGCCCACAGAAAGATGGTGATCAGAGCCCTGCCTCTGCTCCTGGACCTGGATAAGCAGCCTGTGTTGGAGCGCTGGACCTCAGATGAGGAGGATAAAGCCTCAGATGATGAGGAGGAGTTTCCAGAGCTGAGTGGCCCCTTCTGCTCAGAGAGAGGTGACTGCTTTCCAAGACTTACAGCCTGTTCAGGGCTCCAACTGCCCTAAGGGCCTGGGGGGAAGCTAAGATGACAATGACACTGATGATGTCCTAGCCAGCTGGCTCTGCAGAGGGGAACCCCTCTCCCTGCTCTACAATCTCCAGGCCCTTCATGTTTCCAGAGAGCCAGTTAGAAGGGTGGAAGTTGTGTTACCACCACCCCTAGCATAGCCCCTAGTTCTGGGAGTAACCTCCTGACTTTTCATCAGCCTCAGAGCCACATGGTATCCATGGTAGAGTGAGTGTTGATCCACCTGAGTCTGGAATCAGGACAGGATCCAAACAGAGCATGCATGGGACTCATCTCTTCCTAGCCCAAGCCCCAGTCTTCTTCTACTAGGGACAGCAGGAGGTCAGCCAGAGACCTCCCTGAGCCCACAGCCCTCTTGCTGAGCCCAAGGCTCTACCTCTCCTCTCCTAGGCTTCTTCAAAGACCTGGAGCAGGAACTGCACCAGCACCAGGAGCGCAGGCAGCAGGCAGCCCTGGCAGAGCACCTTTCAAGGACAAAGACACTGCCTGCCCTCACCAACCTGCCCCTGCTGCCTACAGTGCCCATGGCTAGGGACTGCAACCCTTCTGTCCCGGTGCAACCAGAGAAAGAGTCAGCCCCTAAGGCTACCTCCTTACCCCACACCTCCTCCTCTATTATGAAACTAACTTATAAGGGCCAGGAAAGCTCTGTCCAGGCAAGGAAGGGAGCCCCAGCAGCCTCTAAGACCTCTCTGGTTGCAGCTTCTAGCTTGAAAAAAACTATAACCAAAAGAACCAAGAAGTAAAGCACTCCTCAGTACCTTAGCTGTGCAGGAGCCCCACCCTCAATAAAGTATCTCTGAGCTTATAATGTCTTTCATGTCACTTGGGGGCAAGTCAGAGGATGGAACCAGTAAAGGCACCCAGAAGCAGAAAACAAAGAGCCCCAAGCTTGCCTTTAAAGGAATGACTTAAAGGGCTGCCACCCCTGGGGCCTTGCCTAGTTTCCTCAATCACCAGTGGGCAAGAAGTGGGCCACCTCGCAGAAGATGCATGTCTCATGGTGAGATGTCTTATTGCCACCCTGAGAGTCCCTCCTAGGTCCAAGCCAAGGACTAAGACCCTAAAACCTAGGGTCCTGATTGATCTCAAATAGCAGCCAGGGCAAGATTTTTTTCTTTTTTCTTTTTTTGGTCATTTTGAGACAGGGTCTCCCTATAGCCCTAGCTGGCCTTTAACTCACTTGTAGACAAGGCTGACCTTGAACTCACAGAGATCCACCTACCTCTGCCTCCCAAGTGCTGTAACTAAAGGCATGCGCCACCATGCCGGGCCAAGATTTTTTTTAAAAAATGGTATGAGTATTTTGCCTGAATGTATGTAAGTGCACCTATGTCATGCAATTTCTGCAGAGGCCAGAAGGGGGTATCACATCCCTTGGAACTGGAGTTAGGTACCGTTGTTAGCTGTCATGTGGGTACTGGAAACTAAGCCCCAAATTCTCTGCAAGAACAGCCAGTGCTCTTAACCACTGAGCCATCTCTCCAGCCCCACAAAGCATGATCTTTGATCTCATGCACACATACACCATTAGGGAACACCCCCCAGAACCCCTTCTCAGTCTCTTTACAACCTTCATGTGTAATTCCATCACATCCATAGGATTTACAGCCTGGCACCACAGGTTTAGCAGCCAGCCTGGTGGTAACTGCCATTTGCCTTGGCTCAGCTCTTTCACCCCCAAAAGACCTGAGACCTAGTTCACTGATAAACTGATAAGGAAATAAAACACTTTTTTTTTTTTTTTTTTGGAGATAGAGTCTCAATATGTAGTCCTGGCTGGCCCAAAACTCACTATGTTAATCAAGCTGGTGTTGAACTTAGAGATTCTCCTGCCTCTGCCTCCTGAGTGCTGAGATTAAAGATATCAGCCACAGAGCTGGAAAGATGGCTCAGCAGTTAAGAGTACTGGCTGTTCTTCCAGAGGACCTGGATTCGGTTCCCAACACCCACATGGCAGCTAACAACTGTCAGTAACTCCAGTTTCAGGGGATCCAATTCCTTTTCTGGCCTCTGAGGGTTTGCATGCATGAGTGCACGTCCGCAAAACATTCATACACATAATTTTTTTTCATTAAAGATGTGGGGTACTGGAGAAATGGTTCAGCAGTTAAGAGCACTGGCTGTTCTTGCAGAAGACCCAAGTTTGAATCCCGGCACCCACATGGTGGCTAACAACCATCCATAATTCCAATTCCAGGGGAATCTGGCACCCTCTTCTGACCTCTGTGGGCATTGAACAACATGGGTGCACTTATATACATGCAGGCAATAAACTCATACACATGAAACAATAAAAATAATAAAGATGTGTGCCACCACGCCTAACCCTAAAACACATTTATTAAGCCAAAGGCTGTACCAACCACTCAGAACCAGGATGAGCAGTGTGAAGGGATTGTTCTGACCACCCAACCCCAGCTCAGGGAAGCTGGCTTCAGGGCTTCTGCACCCAGTGGGCCAGGAGATACTCTGTGCTTAGGCATAGGCCTGGTGCTCCCTCTCCACAAAGGCCAGGAAGAGGCTGCCTAGCTCCTGGGGAGGTGGGGTCCGCTCACCCTCCAGCAGCCTGCGTACAGCCTCCAGGCCTTCCCGCTCCAGGTCCTGTTGCTTTTGCTGGAGCTGTTGCCCCTGCTCCTGCCAGGAAAGCTGAAGTGAGGAATGTGGACTCTCTCCCAAAGGCAGGAGAAACCCAAGACCAACTAGCTCCACTGAGGGGAGCACCCTGTCCCCAGTTCTGCAGTCTCTATCGCTCCCAGGCCCTTCATGTTTCCAGAATGTCAGGAGGGTGAAGGTGTGTCATCCTCCTCACCTCCCCCAGCATGGCCCCTAGTCCCTAGAGGTTACCTGCTCATTCTCCATCAGCCCCAGGGCCGCCTGGTGTCCATGGTAGAGTGAGTGTCGACGATCCACCTGAGTCTGGAATCGGGGGAGGATCCGAACAGGATCCCGGGCTCCAAAAGTTGGGGACAGTACCTGGGGGGCCTGGGCCATCCCCACCCCAAAGATGAAAGGTTTGAACACTGACCTAATGGGACAAAGGACTGAGGTAGATCAGGTCCTGTCACGTCCCCTGCCCAGTATGCCCTCCCCAGCTCCACCACCCTTGTACTCACCTGGATGGGTCTGGTGTAGCCGTGAGGAAGTGAACGCAGGGTTTCAGGGGATCCTGGGGAAGAACTGATACCATACTGGCCGTGGTGCGGAAGCCTCCGGAGTCCATACAGATGCCACTCTCCTTGTTCCTGAGGATGCCCATCATCACCTCTGCTGTGATGTTCCCTGGTGAGGAGTCAGTGAAGCCTCAGCAGAGGGGAGTGTGAGAGGGCCTCGGGGCTGGGGTGCTGTGATCCTTGTGTCCCCCATTTATGGACCTTGCCACTGCTGCAGCAGCTCATGCCCAGATTGGAAGCGGGCCTTGGCAGCCTCCATGCGCACAGGCTGCTGGGTCAGGGAGAAGACCTTGGCAAAATCAAAGGTGCCCTGCCCAGACCACCAGCCTTGGGCCTGGGCGTGGCTCCGGAGCTCTGGGTGTTCGGTGGATATGTCTGTGCCAATGCTCAGCTGGTTGGAGATATTTCGGGCACCCCCTGTGGAAGAAGGGGGAGTTGTTTACGTATCACGGAGCACCCATTCTATGCCAGGCACCGGGTCAGGTGCCAAGATCATAATGGTGATGGGCACAACCTGTCTTCAGGGGATTATGGTGATGGGGGAGACAGATAAATTGTAGGGAGGGGTCATGATGGTGAAGAGGTACCTGCTTGCATATGGGGAGGGGGCCACCACCCAGGGAGGTCCAGGAAGGTTTCCCAGAGGGAGGGACAAGCTGAAACATAGGAGGACTTGGCCAGGGGAAGGACGAAGAGGGTTCCTGAGTAGGCTTATTTCCATTCTCCCAGGATATCCCAAGAAGTGGCACCTGGAGATAGTCCATCCCTGCCCCACCAGTTCTCCAACCTCCCAAGGTTGGCAAGAGGAGGACAGCACCTGGGGGAGGGGGGTCTAGGCTCCTACCCTGGATCCTCTGAGCAGCCCACAGCCTCCCAGCTGTCTCCAGCACCCACGCTTCTATCCGGTCAGCCAGTAAGAAGGTGTTATGGTAGCAGAATGGCACAGGATCTTCCCGGCAGCTGCCCCCCTGCCCATAACGCTCCAACAAGCCTGTAATCACATGCACGGCCTCCTGGGCAGTGCTGCTCCGTTCCAAAGCCAGCCTGGCAGAGAGATCAGGGGTCAGAAGTGACCCAGAAAGGCTTGATGAAAAACCCAAGTCACACAGCAAACCCATTGGCACTGATTGTAGCAAACAGGCCTGGTGGTGCAGGCCTGTGATTCCCAGCAAGGAGACGGAGGCAGGAGGATCAAGACTTCAAGGTTAGACTCAGCTACATACTACAAGAGACCCTATCTCAAAGAAAACAAAAAACAAAAACAACCAGTAACAAAATAAAATTTAAAAAAACATGTGCCAGCGGTTTCCAAACATTGCACTGAGAGTTCCATAGAAAGGCCTGGAACACTGTCTCAGAGGAAGAAGTGCCTACACCCCACCTCTCCTCAATCAGAGCTGCTCCATATATATCAGTTCTATAAACCTGAACACTGGGAGATTTCGGTTGACAAAAGTCGTATTGAAAAAATATTTAAGCCATTCTGGGCCCAGAGAGGCTCTTTATCAGACTATGGAGACAAAGCTAGGAGATAGGAGGGACAGGGCAGCCTCCCTGGTGAGGGCACAAGGGCAAAGTAAACAGAGGAGAGGGCAGTGAACCAGATTGAGGTGGGGAAGTGATGCCTAGCGGGAGGAGCAGGTCTGTACCTGAGTAAGTCCATGCCCAGCAGGGCTTCCCCCTCCCCAACAGGCTCCTTGGTCCACACAGCTTCATTGCCAATACAGACACCATGCTCGTTGGCACCCATCTCAGCCCCCCACAGCCAAGAAGGGCGGCTCAGGATCACAGCATGTGTCTTCAACACCTGGTCCACTTCGATGTAGGTGCACTGGAGGAAGAGAAAGGAAGAAGCCATTGAGAAAGAGCCATAATCTATACTGTGCTAGAAATTGTATTGAGAAAGGTCTTATTCTCAGGTTACAGATGAGTAAACTGAGGTCAACAGAAGCTAACGAGGCTCAAGGTCCAGGTTGGAGGACTTGGAGTCCATCCACTTTTCACTGCCTCTAGTAGCATCCCAGGGGCAAGAAAAAGTGGAGGTCTAATGCCTACACCTCCCAACACCTTAAGTCCTAACTCACCTGGAGCCGGCTCCCAGGGGTGTGAGTGCTTGCGGGTACAAACACCACCTCCTGCACCTCATCTCGAGGTCTATCCGAGTTCTTTGCAAAGATCACGGCTGGGATGGCTGAAGCCGGGGGAACAGAGACAAAGCAGTCGCAGGAACAAGGGGCGTCACGGCTGGACGATGCCATCTGCGGAAGGGTGGGGATGATCATGTCCCTCCCAGGCCACCTCTCCACAATCTCGTCACGGCTGGGCCTAGGGCGCTTCCTCACCCCCCAACACGTGCACTCAGAGAAGACTGTCATATAGGTTCCTGATGTCCTGCACCGTGTATGCACATTCAGTGAGTGGTGTGCACACTCCTTGTACTTGGCTTAGAGTCAGCAGACACTGCAGGGTCTGCAGACTCCGAAAGTCCTGCTCTTTCACGGAAGTCCTAGCCCTTCCGGGCTGTACTTTCTTCGGTTTCTCACAGGTCTCCAAGAATCCCACGCTCCTGCGCATGCCCACAGACCCGCCCCTCTACCACTCACCCCTTTTCACGTCCTCTGTATCTACGTCTCTCACCCTCTCCGCCTCCAAGACCCTCAAGCTTGGTTCCGAGCACCACCTACTCTGGGTTAGGTTAGGTCTGTTCGATTGGACAGAGGTCCCCAGGTGACCTGGAAGGCCTTTGCCTCGGGGGCGGGGCCGGAACAGAACACCTGCAGTCCCATCGTATCCCACGAGGGTGCGCACTAGCACCACTTCTTGGAACCCAAGAGCCTTCCAAGTTCTGCTTGGCTCCCAGCCTGGGTGTCCTGGGCGCCCCTTTCAGGTTTATCAGATGGAGGCACGATTGGTAGGTGAAGCTGAGGGAGAAAAGGAGCCTGTGTGAAAGAGGACTCATAAATCAGCGGACACTGCTGGCCACAAGCCAGGAGATAAAGGCATACCAATATATATTTTATTATTTAAAAAGCATTTATTTGAGGGGCTGGAGAGATGGCTCAGCGGTTAGGAACACTAGCTGTTCTTGCAGAAGACCCAGGTTCGAATCCCAGCACCTACAAGGCAGCTACCAACTGTCCGTAACTCCAGTTCCAGGGGATCCGACAGCCTCTTCTGTCCTCCGTGAGCATTGCACGACATGGGTGCATTTACCTACATGCAGGCATACACACATACACATAAAATAAAAAATATTTTTTTAAAGTATTTATTTGATACTTTGTGCACAAAGTGGTGTGACATATGCCTTTAATCCGAGTACTCGGGAGGCAGAGGCAGGCGGATCTCTGTGAGTTCGAGGCCACCCTGGTCTACATAGTGAGCGCCAGGTCAATTGGGGCTACAGGGAGACCCTGTCTCAAAAAAGACCCCCCCCAAAAAAAGTATTTATTTTAGCTGGAGAGATGGCTCAGCGTTGGCGCTCTTGTAGAGGACCTGGGTTCAGTTCCCAGCACCCACATGACCAATAACAACAGTCCTAACTCTAGTTCCAGGGAATCTGACGCCCTCTTCTGACTTCCCTGGGCATTGCGTGACAAGGGCACACTTACATACATGCAGACAACACACTCATACACATAAAAATAAAATAAAATAAAATAATTTTTTAGCAGTATAAAATTTATTTAAAACCACCTGCAAAGTTCTGTGTAATCAGGAATGATGCAATTTGCAATCGCTTCTTTTTTTTTTTTTTTTTTTTTTTTTTTTTGAGACAGGGTCTCCCTAACATCTACCCTTTTTAGAATATTTATTTGAACTCACAGAGATCCACCTGCCTCTGTCTCCCGAGTACTGGGATTAAAGGCATTCGCCACCACACCCGGTTTATTTAATCTTTCTTAAGAGCTGTTTTTTTTTGTTTTGTTTTTACTTTGAATATAGTCAGCTACTTTATCACAGCACAAACACACATCGGTGAGGGTATGAACTTACTATGCGCCAAAGTCATCAGGGGGGTCTTATTGAATATTCAAGGTTATTTGGCCTGTTTACCCCTTTTCTTGTGACCCAGAATATATTTGAGATACTCAAAATAAATTGCTTCTATGCATAGGCTTGTGAAATAACCTATATAAATTACCAAAATCTTTTAAAAAATATTTTATTATTTTTATTTTATGTATATGAGTGTATTGCCTGCATGTATGTGAGTGCACCTGTGTTGTGCACTGCGGAGGTCAGAAGAGGGCTTCAGATTCCCCTGGAACTGGAGTTAAGGATGGTTCATAGCCGCCATGTGAGCACTGGGAATTGAACCCGGGTCCTCTGCAAGAACAGTCAGTGCTCTTAACCGCTGAAGCCATCTCTCCAGCCCGATTTCTAAAGTCTTTATAGATACATCTCAGTATGCTTCTTAATTCTCTACACAAAGGTAGTTTTCCAATGATTTTTTTTTCCTGTGTGTGGCTACAAAGCAGAACTAAACAAACAAACAAACAAAGAGAAATCACATAATCTAGAGATAGTTCTGCCTGTTAGAGACAATAATAATTCTGCATATTTACCCTGAAGGACTGGGAACTGACATTGTTTACCCAGCACCATTTCCCTCAAGAAGCCTTCATTTCAATCGATTTAAATATACTAAACTCTGATTGTGAGAGGCTGACCTCAGCCATTTGAAATGATCTGAATGAAAAATATAGTCTTTCTATTGTAATAGTAAAGGGATAATATTCTCTACACATTTTGTTTTGTTTGTTTTTTTGAGACAGGGTCTCTCTGTAGCATCAGGATGGTCTTGAACTCAAAGATTTGCCTGCCTCTGCCTCTTAAAGGTGTGCACCACTGAGCCCAGCATAGGCTGAACTTATTATGTAGCTGAGACTGGCATCAAACATCAAATCTGCCTAAGTCTTACTCACAGGAGATAGGATTACAGAAATGGGCTAACACACCCATGAATTAATTTAGTAAAATAAAATATTTATTTTATTTAATTTTTTGGTCTTTTTGAGACAGAGTCTCCCTGTAGAATCTGGCCTGGAACTCACTATGTAGGTCAGGCTGGCCTTGAACTTACAGAGATCCACCTCTTTTGTCTCCGAAGTGCTGGGATTAAAGGCACGTGCCACCATGCCCAGCTAAAATATTTATTTTAATTAATTTATTTTTATGTGTATGAGAGTTTGACAGAATATATATGTCTGCACCACATACATGCCTAGTGCCTATGGAGGGCATCAAATCTGGAACTGGAGTTATAGATGGTTGTTAGCTGCCACATGGGTCCTGGAAACGGTCCAGGTTTCTAGGCCCCTCCAAAAGAACAACCAAGTGTTCTTAATCCCTGAGCCATCTCTCCAGCCCTATTTTATTTGTATTTTAAGATTTATTTTTATTTATTATTTTTATTTAATGTGTATGAGTGTTATGCCTGCATGTGAGTAATTGCACCCATGTCATGCAATGCTGGCAGAGGACAGAAGAGCTGTTGGATCCCCTGGAACTGGAGTTATGGACAATTGTTAGCTGCCATGTGGGTGCTGGGATTTGAACCCAGGTCTTCTGCAAGAACAGTCAGTGTTCTTAACCGCTGAGCCATTTCTCCAGCCACGATTTATTTTTATTTTTAAATTATGTGTGTATGTGTTAGTATGGGGGTATATGCACAAGAGTGCAGGTACCCTCAGAGGCCAGAGGAAGGCACTGGATTTCCTAGAGCTGGAGTTACAGGCAGTTGTAAGCTGCCCATGTGGGTGCTCGGAACTGAATTCAGGTTCTCTGCAAGAGCAGTATGCCTTATTTTATTTTTATCTTATTTTTCTTTTCTCTCTTTCTTTCTTTCTTTCTTTCTTTCTTTCTATCTTTCTTTTTTTTTTTTGACAGTGTTTCATTGATAAACCAGTCTTGAACTCACAGAGCTCCTCCTGCCTCTGCCTTCTGAGTGCTGGGATTAAAGGCGTGGGCCACCACATCTGGCCAGCCCCTTGTTGGTTTTATTATTTATTTATTATTTCAAATATTGGCTTTGGGAGATAGTGTGTGAGCACCTGTATGCACATGCTTGTAGGGCCTAGATGTTGACATCAAGTGTTTTCCTCAATTACTCTCCACCTTATTTTTGAGATAGGGTCTGTCATTGAACCTGGAGCTTGCTGATTCTGCCATACCGGGAGGCATTAAATCCTGGAACACTCCTGTCTCTGACCCTGGAGTGCTGGGATTATAGACCCATGGTGTCTGGTTGGTTTTTATGCTGGGAATCAAACTCAGGTCCTCATGTTTGCACGACAAGCACTTTATTGTTTGAGTAGTCCCTAGTGTATATTTTAAAATGGCACAAGGAAGGGCTGAAGAGTTGGCTCAGCAGTTAAGAGCACTGACTGCTCTTGCAGAGGACCCAGGTTTGAGTCCCAGCATCCACATGGTGGCTATGAACTGCCCTTAACTCCAGTTCCAGGGGAATCTGATGCCCTCTTCTGACCTCTGTGGCATTGCGTGATATGGGTGCACTCACATACATGCAGGCAATACACTCATATACATAAAGTAAAATTTTTTTTAAAAGCCCCAAAATAAAAGGAATATTTGCCTTTAATCCCAGCACTTGGGAAGTGGAGGCAGGCGGATCGTTGTGAGTTCAAGGCCAGCCTGGTCTACACAATGAGTTCAGGTCAGCTGGGACTACAGGGAGACCCTTCTCAAAAAGAAAAAAAAAAAAAAATGGCACAAGGACACATACACAAAATCCATCCAGCCCCAAACCCAAGTCCTTTTCTGCCCCGTAGTGCTTAAGTGCACTATGGCATAGGAAGATACCTTTGAAAAGAAATTTAGAAATGTCTATTCCAAAAATTTGATACTTCTACAAATAGTTAAACTGAAACATCAAAGGACAAGCTTTTGCCAAGAGAAACACAGGATGGTACAGAGCTGGATTCTGACCTCAAATGTTCTGGTTTTCAATTCATTTTTCTCAATAAACCATCTCCATAGCCAGCATTTAAACAAATGTCTCTCACACACTTTTGTTCCCTGGAGCCCTCCAGGAACTGGGGAGGGGAGGCATTGCACTGAATCTGTAAATCTGATTGGGTACTATGGACATTTCAACAATATTAATTCTTCCAATGCATAAACACAAAATTGTGTGTGTGTGTGTGTGTGTGTGTGTGTGTGTGTGTGTGTGTAGGTGGGGGGGGGGCTGGGAATGTAGCTCAGTTGGGCCCTGGGCTCAATCCTCAACACTGCATAACCTGGAGGTGGTGATGCACGCCTGTAATTCCAGCATGCCGATGGAGGCAGGAGAATCAGAAGTGCATGGGCATCCTTGGAGATATAGGGAGTTCCATGCCAGCCTGGGCTAGAGTCTCTAATTCAAAAGAGACTTGTTTTTCAGTGTATAGCTCTTCCCTCTTTGTTCCTTAGTACTTTTTTGGTGTGTGGCTATTGCAAATGGTATTGTTTTCTGGTTTGCCTTTTTGGATATTTCGCTGCTAGTATATAGAGAGATTTCTCATTTTTGTATGATTTTTGTATCTTGTGCCTTTATTCTTTTTAGTTCTAACAGGTTTTTTTTGTGTTTTGTTCTAAGGTTCTTTTCAAACCAACACTGCTAGTGTGCTGAGCCTTCAGACAGACTAGGATGAATGGAGAAGTAAAGACTGCCTCTGGTGCTTCGTGGAGGAATTGTGAAATTGCAGGTGGATGCCATTCCACCTCAAACATCAAGGCTGTACACGCCCCCAAACGCCGGCATCCAAGGTGTCCTTCAGGGAAAGCTGGTTCCTCTTCTGCACTTCCGTGGCTGCCCACTGTGGGGCAGAACAGGCCTGGGAAGGCAGCGGGCGTGCAGTCTCCGCCAGGACACCATCACACAACTCCAGGCTGCGTTCCCAAGACTGCCTTTGGTTACGTTTTCACTCTTGACTTCATTTGCCCACCCTAGAGGTATTCCTCAACTCCATCTCTCTGGTAGGAGATGCCTCAAGAGGTCGCCTGAAGGGTGATCGAGGTGTGATTTCCCTAACTCCTTCCCTGGCCTATCCAGGAGGATCCTGCTGGGACACCCCATCTAAGGGGTCAGAGGTGACTCTGGGCTCCTTCAGGGGCGCCAGGCCAGCCAGGCAGCATTGCAAAGGAGCAAGCAAGCATCAGAGCCCCACCAAAGGCCCCTGCTAAGAATGCAGGTCAGCTGGAGGAGCTGCAAAGGGAGGAGGGGCTGCCCTGGCCCTGCCCAGACTAGCCCAGCCGGCCCCACAGCTGCCCTCCTATCCCTGGGGGCAGAGATGGGGGAAAAGGAGGGGATTCACCAGGATCCTGGGGTCTAATTCCCCCAGAACCAGGAAGACAAAAGAGGTTCCCTGTAGGAGAGCCTCAGGCAAGAGGTCACAGGGAAACAAGTCCTCCCAAACTATTAAGTCCTAGAACAGATAGAAACATGTGCCCCCCCAACCTGTCTGTTTTCCTCCATTACCCCTATATCATCCTGATGCCCCATCCCAATGTTCCCGTAAACTCCGGGGCCCCCAAATCTCTTGGACCCTGTGATACGATGAGCCAATCTGAAAGCGAGATTCGGCTGGAAAAATTGGAATAGGGGTTAGGGGTGTGGGACAGGAATCCCATGAGGGGAAAATAATAAATTTGGCCCCCAAAAAATTAGGTTGGAAAGGTAAAAGAACACAACCAATCTTGCCCCATAGAGCCAAAAAAATAAATCAAAACCAGATCTTCCGGGCACCTTCCAAGTTTTAGGACTCTGTGGAGTCATGAAGTTTTTACTCACTCAACATGAATTAGGCACCATAGAGGGCTTTTCTAGTCTCTCTGAAGACAGTGGGTCCTGTGAGAGTGCAGTGCATTTGTGTACACTGCTGTTGCGTAACCCTGGCAGGTTTCTAGCTGCTGGTAGTAGCAGCAACCCTTCCCTCATACTTTCCAGCTGGGCAGGCGCCCATCAGATATCTTGGCTGCCTTTCATCGCCTTGTCCCTGATAGGGATCATCCTGGGTGAAGAAATCTCTGTCAGTCACCCCCACCTCACTCAGCCAGAGGGACAAGCTGACATGCATGCTCCCATGGGGGTGGGGTGAGGGAACCAAGAGGCCAGCTATGAGTTGGAAGGGAGGGGATCTGTGTTCTTGGGGGAGAGGGGGAGAGAAGAGGGGATTTGTACGTGGAGGAAGGAAACATCTAGAAACAGTTCATCCCCATAGCTGAACACCAGAGACAGCCCAGCTGTCTCCCCTTTAAACCAGGACCAGATCCAAGGTCTGACCCAGTCAAATGAATGGAGGTGATACTGCCTAAGGATTCTCCCTACCCACTCCTCACTGCCTAGGGACACTGAGTCAAAGAGGAGACACAGCTGGAACACAAATAAAGCAAGGATGTGGTTGGTTGATGACTTTATTGTTGCATAAAAAACAGGCTGTTTCTGCCTCCTCCTCCCCCCCAAGTGGGTTCACAGCAGTTAAAGAAAAAAATTCCTACATTTTCCTCTAGGGGGGCTCCCTAGAAGGGCAGGCAGTGGAGAAACCTAGATTTATAAAGAGTGGGGCAGGCAAAAACCTATCCAAAGCCCCACCTGCAGACCTTAGGGTCCAGGGCCTCTATAAGGGGGAGCATCCATATCCCCCCACCATCAGTACCTACATGTGGAATTCCCCCTAAGAATGGTTACTAGAAAAGGCTGTCTTGGTAGCACAGGGAGGGGATGGCTGGTTTTGATGGGTGGAGGAGAAAGCATCCCACACCCACGGTGCCCTCCTTTCTCCCCTTCTGCACCTAGCCAGGCAACCTACAGGCATGACCAACTCTGCTTTTGCCCTCAGCTTTTTTTTTTTAATGAGGAAGGGGACCTCTGGCTGGGTTAGCAGGGGAAAAGAGGGAGAATACAGAAAAATCTTACTTCTTAAACTATCCCAGGCTCCTAAGTCCCACAGGGATTTACCCTGTCCCTTTTAAGGAGGGGTCCTTTCTACACAAACAATATTCCTACCCAGATCCCAGCCCCTAATTCCCATACAGCTTCCAGTCCTTGGACTGGGCTCCAGCATCCCCAATGGAGGAAGAGATGCTGTGGGTCTAGGCCCCAGACCTTGGACGGGAGAACAAGATGGGGTCTCAGAAGACCCCAGGCTCAGTAGAGAAACACATACATACACACGGGTACATACAACATACATATACACATTCATACCCTAATTATTAAATAAAATACCCTTTGCTTATAACTTAAAACTCAATACACAGCTAATCCCTGCAGAGGGTTCTGGGTCTAGAGAGGAGAGCAGGAGAGAGGTCTGAGGGACTCAAGGCCTCTACCTTAAACCTGAGTGCCCCCAGCCCCAGGGTCCTGTGGTCTGCCAGAACCTTCCCTGTATAGTATCTGCTTCTTTTCCCTCTGCCTGGCTCAGCTTCTGCCAAGTAGAAGTCCACCCTCCCCACCCCATGATCAAAATCCAAAAGAATCTCTAGTATCTAAAGGAGAAGGGGATAAAGAAACAGCTCCTGAAATCCCCTCTAGTGGAGAACCATGTCTTCATATGGAAGCGGACTTCCCCCTGGGGATGGAAGAGGGCAGACTCTATCGCAGTGCTGAGGAATATGGAAGAGTCAAGCTAGAGAGTGGACTGGAGTCTAGACAGGGGTAGGGGCCTCCACTGTAGTCCCTCTGCTAGGACAACCCCAAACAATCCCCCAAGGACCCCTCTCCCTTCCAACCCCAAGGGGAAAGCAAAAGCTGGAGACCTCAGGAAAAGCTTACATTAACTCTAGAGCTGGAGCTATTGGCTGCCTTAAAAAAGAAGAAAATAAAACCGAAAAAACAAAAAAATACCTAGGGTAATGGATAGGGCATGTGGACTACTGAACTTGTTTTTTTAAAAGGTCTAAGAGTTAAGGATTGAATCAAAGTTGAGGCGGGAAGAAGAGGTTAGTTCTTCCATTCCCCTACCAAACGTCTTCCATTTTAAGAGGATTTCCCTCCTAAATCCCAGTCTCCCCCATCTAACTCAGACCTCCACAGCTCAAGCTGAAAAGCTGTGCTCTCTTCATCTCTGACTCTATCAAACTGGGTCTGGAAGGGTTTATAAGGAATTTAATAAAGAGATTTCTTTCTACAGTAACAACCCTCCAAGCTAAATAGACATCCTCTTAAGGGGGACTCCCCCAACGTCCCCCAACCTCATCTCTGCTCTCCCTCTGGAAACTTTAGAGGGAGAAGTACCAGAAGGGGGATGAAAGGGACCTCGGCCGCAGGGCTGTGCTGAGGTGCTTTTATGTCCGGGTTCCCAGGAGCTAAAGACGTGTCCAGACAGCTACTCCTCCAATGCCTCGAGCATGTTTCCCCTGAGCCCTTAAGACGTGCCATCTCCTCCAGCCCTTCACCCCTACATGCCCGTAGGGGTGCTCCATTCTAACCCTCCAACAACTCAAGGGGCGAGTGAAATAGTGAGGAAGAGAAGAATGGAGGGGCATGCTCAGCTCCTGGCAGCATGAACAGTCAGCCCCAGAGACTAAAAACCCCCTAGCGCCCCTCTCCCTGTCCCCTCACCATCAATAAATAACCACCTTCCCCCCCCCTTACTCAGGCCGCCCCGCTAAAGACTCTTTTCCGATGCCCGCAGGAGACCAGCAGGGATGCAGCGCCCCAGGGGCTCAGTTGGAAGATGCGGTGCTGCCCTCCGCCTCGCGCTTGCCTTTGCTGCCGGGTGTCTCCACCGCCCCGCCGGCCTTGGTCTCGCCGGGGACCGCCGCCGCAGCCTCCTCTTTGGCGCCCTCGTGGGTTTTCATGTGCTTGGCCAGGTGGTCGCTGCGCATGAAGACTCGGCTGCAGACGGCGCAGGGAAACTTCTTGGTGCCGGTGTGGGTCTGGAGGTGGCGCTGCAGCTCGTCGGAGCGCGTAAAGCGCTTGCCGCAGAAGAGCCAGTTGCACACGAAGGGACGGTCGCCGCTGTGCCACCGCAGGTGCGCCTTCAGGTGCGACGTCTTGGCGTAGGCTTTCCCGCAGCCCGGGATGTGGCAATTGTGCAAATGCTTCTTCTTGCCCCCATCCGGCCCGCATGGAGCCCCCAGTCGCTCCGCCTCCAGGCAGTTGGGGCAGCGGCACACCGTCTGCCCCGAGCTACGGGGCACCGACCGCCGGGAGCCTTTGGGTCGGGCCGCCGCGTCCAGACTGGAATCCAGCCCCTGGGACTCTGGCGCCGCGGTTTCCAAGGCCTTAGCCCCGTCGGGGGGCCCGAGGAGGTGCTGCCCTCCGGCGGCTGGGAGGAGGTGGTGCGGGTGCGGGTGGGGCGGTGGAGCACAGAGCTGGTGGTCTCCGACGTAGCCCCCCAAGCCAGCCGGAAGCGCTCCCGGGTGGCTCGGTGAGGTCAGCGCTCCCTGAGTGTGGGGGAGGTCCATCCAGCTGGTGCCCGGATGAAGGTCCCACCACGAGCCATCCTCCGTGCCTGGGTGAGTTGGCCGGAACCACGATTCGTAATGGTGTGACATGTCCGGCTGCAGAAGCTTGGAAAAGGGTCCCGGAGCCAAGGGACTGTCGCTTTCCAGGTCCTCGCAGGTTACCCGTGAGGAGACCCCAGGCAGCTCATAGCCCTGTGAGAAGTCCACCTCCGGGCCCAGCGGGAGGCTCTGCAGCTCTCCAGGCTGCAGCGAGGAGGGGTAGTCCCCGGCCTCCGGGCTCGTGTGGCCCTGGTATGTCTGAAGAGGCTGCAGGTCGAGGCGCGGCGGCGATGCGTGAGGCGCGTCGGTGTGCTGGCTGCCCAGAGAGCCACAGACAGCGGTTAGCATTGCCGGGATGGGATGGGGCAGGGACGGTCAGGGGCACCTCAGGTGGGACCTAAAGGAAGAAAGAAGAGAAGTGAGGAAGGCAACCGGCTCACTTTCCTTCCTAACCCAGATCCCCTCTCTGCAAAGTGCTCCTTCTGGGCCCCTAGGTGAAAAAGAGGGGGTGTGCCTCTGGGTGGGGACTATAGATCATTTAGAGCTTCAGAGTGCTAAGAAAGGCCTGAGAATGAGAAAGTTTGGGTCAGGGCACAGATGGCCTTTCCTCTAAGTGATCCCTCTCTTAGGATTCCGCTCATACCAGGGTAGCTGGTCACTATGCCAGCCAGAACTCTCATCCCCACACTGGCTGCCTGGGCATTTCCCCCTGCATATCTGCTGCCAACCTAAATGGATGATCTAAGTTCATCTCAGCTTCCCCAGTCTAAGTCAGGACACAGATTCGGGGAGGTCTGCTTCTGGAACTAGAGGTGACCTGCCCTTCAGATAACCCAGGGCAGGTCCTGAGCTTTTTGCAAAGGCCAGTCTCTTGGTTGTCTTTGCCCCACCAAACCCACTCCCACACTAGACCCCACTCCTTTCCTTCCATATGAAGCTGGGAGGGGTGAGATTCCCCAGAGCAAGACAAAGGGTTTACCCAGAGAAGAGGCTACCACTCCCTTAAGGGAGGCAGCATCAATGTTTAGAAGAGGCATGGAAGGAAGCCCATAGCCAAGTACCTAAGGTCAAGAATTGCCCAGTGCTCACTCATATCAGGGACATGGACAAATTTTAGAAGCTCCTTAGGCGATTCTAATGTGCAGTCAAGGGTTGAGAGCTACTGCTGTGAACTTGTTCTTATTTAAAGAAAACCAAATTTGGAGCAGTGATTTGAATGAGAATGTTCATTTATTCAATCAACCAACATACACTATGCCAATACCTCTATGAAGGAGGTCTCTTTTCCTAAACCATTAGAAACCTAAGGCCCAGCCAAAACCTAAAGACCCAGCATGGGTGTGGTGATGCAGGCCTGCAACATCAGCACTCAAGAAGCTGAAGCAGGAGAATGCAGAGTTCCAGGCCAGCTTGGGTGGACTACAGAGCAAGACAAAGGAAGGAAGGGAGGAAAATAAGAGAAAAAAAAAAAAAAAAGAGGAAGGTGGAGCTGCTAGGTGTGGTGGTGCTGAGGCAGAAGGACTGTTAGTTCAAGGCCAGCCTGGGCTCCACAATGAGACCCTGTTTCAAAAATATAGAAGCCTTAAGCCCTCAACCCTTTCTTCAGCACAAATCTGTGACCTGAAGGTCCCAGGCTACTCTCTATTTTTTCCTAGGGCCTGGGAGTCTTGCTTATGTGTGGGGCGGTGTGGAGGAGGCTGTGATTTAGGGCTCCGTCTTTTTCCTTTCCCAGGCTGGGCTCAGCTGATCCTACCACCTTACGCCTCTGGAACCAGGGAGGTGGCACCGATAGTCTGGGAGAGGCAGGGTAGAGCAGGGCTCGGGCGCCTACTCAGGGTCTGGCTGCTTCACCACAAGAAAGGAACATGGTGAAGCGGCAGGAACCGAGCCTCAGGCCCGGGCGCGGCAGCCCAGAAGGGGTTGGGCAGGAGTAGTGAGGCCTGGGACCCTAATAGCTTTTGGCGCCTGGGAACTGCCCCAGGGTCTGGGGGATGGGAAGGCTAGGACGACCCAGGCTCCTGAAGGGCTTCCCCGACCTGAGCCCAGGCCTGGAGTGCAATACCTGCTACCAACATTTCAGAAAAAGAAAGCTGGGCGAGAACCCCAGTTCCCAGTTAGAGAAAGGGGGTAGAGACGCCCGTATGTCCAGTAAGTCGGCTGCCTCTTCCGAGTCCCAGTTGCCCAGGCGGTGGGGACTTCCGTTCTCTCGGTTCTCAATGTTCCAATCCTCCGGTTGTCCCAGTCGCTCCAGTTTCCCCAGTTTCGAGGCTCCTCGGTATCTCCAGTCCCTCCCGTCCTCCCGGTTTTCCTTCCGTCGGGGCTCTCAGCCCTTCGGATCCTTGGGGATCACGCGCCCCCTGAGGTCAGGAGAGGCTGCGGCGCCGTAGGAGCTTTCCCCTGATCGCACGGCGCACCCCTGGCCACCCGGAACCGGGCTCCTACCTGCTGGCTGCTCTCGGGCTCTGGGCACCGCAGGCTGGCGCGCTACAGACGGGCGCTCATGGGCCCTGCGCGCTGGCCGGCTCTCCACGGCGAGGGATGGAAGCGGAGGGCTAGTGGGGGCCGCGACCAGACCCGGCGCCCGACGGAGGCAGGAGAGCCCGCGGGAGGGCGGAGGGCGGGCGGGAGCCAGCAAGCCAGCGAGCTAGCGAGCGAGCGAGGCCAGCTCCGCCCGTGACTCACCGCGCTCTCTGCCTTCATCCTCTCCCCAGCGCTCCTTTTTCCCCCCAACCCGCGGCCCCGCCCACCTCACCTGCGGCTGCCTTTAACCCTTGCAGGCTCGGCGGGACCGAAGGCCCGGCCCCGGCTCAAGGAGGGGGCGGGCGAAGAGGAGGGATAGCTAACCAGGCCATCTCCCTTTAGCTCCCTCCCTCCGCCCAGGTCCCCTCCACTCCCTGCCTGGGTAGGGGGTGTTTTCTACGTTCTGAGACCCTCCGGGTCCAGCGGAAAGCTAGCCTGGAGCTGGCTCGGTCCGGCGGGGGACACGACTCAGACCCTGGAGAGATGAAGGGAGGTGGGTTCTGGGGGTACTACAGAGCCATCCTTAGGGAGCGCCTGACCCATCCGTCCTGGCCGGGCAGCGGAGGAACTAAGATGATTGAGAGCCAAGTATATGTCCGGCTCACCCCAGGCCTGGGCCATCGGGAGTGTTTCTGGGCTACACCGCTGCCCTCCACCACCCCGTCCGCGGAATGGCCCCCTCTCGCATGCCTTTTTGGGTGATCACCTCGTTTCCAACCTCTTCCCCACTCTCCAGTCTCGACCTGCCTCCAACCCGTCTCCTGGGCCCTCTTAGGGTTCCCGCTCCACCTCCCCTTAGGCGGCAAGCGCCCCCCCCCCCTTAACTCTGCCTGCCTCCTTGGCGTCCGGAGGTGCTGAGCCTGCGCCGGACACCCTCGCACGGAGATCTCAGGGTTGGTGGGTCCTGAATAGCCCTGGGAAGAAACATTTCAGCGAAGGATTGAGCGACCCTTTGCCGCTAGTTGGAAGTCTAGAGAACGGTCTTGAATTCCTTAGAAAACAAACGCACTTACACAGAGCCACATTCCGGTAAATTTTCAGGGCGTGTGCCTTTCCCATCGCTTCCCAAGTCCACTCTTTAACCTCCCGAGTGACCCTTTATTATGGGGGATTTCTGAGCAATTTTCGTTATTTCTTTCGTTGTAGTGTTTGGCTTTCTCTATGCCCTCTTTCCGAGAGTTCGCCTGTAATTTAGGTTGATTTAACCTCGACTACACAGTACCAGTTTCTTCCTTCCTTCCTTCCTCCCTCCCTTCCTTCTTTCTTTCCTTCCTCCTTTCCTCCCTCCCTCCCTCCCTCCCTCTTTTCCTTCCTTCCTTCCTTCCTTCCTCCTTTCCTCCCTCCTTTCCTCCCTCCCTCTCTTCCTCCCTCCCTCCCTCCCTTCCTTCCTTCCTTCCTTCCTTCCTTCCTTCCTTTCTTCTTTCTTTCTTTTTTTTGGCTTTTTGAGGCTGGATCTCATTCTGTAGCCCTAGCTCAGTTGGCCTCTAACTTGCAACAATCTTCCTGCCTCAGCTTCCCAAATTCTGGGGTTGTAGGTGTGAGCCAGCATACCAGGTTTTCAGTGTTCATTAAACCCCCATTATTTTACCTGTCCTACTTTCCCGTCTGAGACGCACTGTGGTATGACTATGGAGCAGCTTAACTGATTCCACAAGCCATTTTAAAATCAGCGGCGGATATTTGTATGTCTGTGTTGTTTCCCCAAATATGCAGATGTTCCTAGCCAGTCAATGTTTCCTTCATTTGAGCATCTCCCGTTTTCTAAGGCTCAGTTTCTTCTGCACAACCTGAGAACAAGTTGAGAGGTTCCCTGGGGGTGAATGATATAACACCTAAAAACACAAAGTTCAAGGGCCCCTGCTAGAAACAAAATAAACACTTAAAATTTTTAAATAAATTTGTTTCTAGAAATGTGTGTGGATTAAGGCATATTCACAGAGATTTTCGGACTTAGAAGTTCACGAACCTAAATTCTAGCCCCAGCGCACTCGGGGAATTTTTTAGACTGCGGTGGAGGATCAGGTTGCTCGAAACTTCAGTTTCCTCAGCCTCCCTGGTGGGTGAAGGATGGACGTTTTTAAAGTGAAAGACATCCTAGGGGACTGGGATTTGTGATCTGTCTGGGGTTCTCTCTTCCTGGCACTTTGGGTCTTCTAATGAAGATTCTTAACAACCGCTTGGATTCTTCCAAATTAACACTTTTTGCCAACACGGGGGTCCCTGGCCACTCAGCCTCCAAATCCTGGCTAATGGGGTTTGCATCCCAGTTCATAGTCACCTCTAGAACCGAGTTAGGGGGTCATCATATGGGGAGCAGACCCTGACCTGGGTGACTCTGACTCCTGGTTTAAGACTATTTAGACCCTTGGTATTTCTGCCTCCCTTCCCAGCTGTCCGCAGTTGTTGTATCTATTGCTATTAAGGATGGGTGTGCAGGGCTCAGTCCCCACTTCCATTTATAAGTGCCAGACTGTCTTATCTTCTTGATGCTGTCCATCTTTTCTTGGAAAACAATAGGGAAAAGAATAGCAGAATCCCCACCCCAGGTTCCCTTTAACCCTGCCCCATCCACATCCATCTGGGGTCCGCTAGAGCAAAGACTCTGCAACTGCCTGTGGCTCATCAGCATGAAATTCAACAGTAGTGAAGCTGGCCTTGGAAATGCTCAGCCATTCTGACCTCCAGCCCTGGCTATCTCTATCTTTCTCTCAGATCCCAGGACTTCATTCCTCTGCTTCCAGCTCTTTCTATTCCCTATTGCTAGATATTTTCCTACTTAGTGATAGCTGTGGTCTAATACTGAAATGACTGCCAAGGTCACCGTAGCTCATATTCTCATCTAGACTCAAGATTGATTTGCCCACCACACAAACTGAGATCTGCCCAGAACTTGGCCCATTTCTATTCCTTTCCTTCATTCTCTAATCAAATTTCCCCCCAGGAGTCCACTCCCGGTACCTGTCACCCCTCTTCCCAAACCTCTTTTATAGTGAGTGATCCTTTTTGTGCTTGGAGCAGCCTCTTTAGTCTGCATGTTCGTCATAAGCAGGATTTATTTATTGAGTACCTACTATGTGCAATCCAGGTCCTTCCCACAAATATCTCTAGTTTTCATGAGCATGCAACAAAGTAATTATTATTATCATTCCCATTGTACAGATGAGGAAGCCAGGGATCAAAGAAGCTAAATGACCTGCCCAAGATTACCGAGCTATTAAGAGACAGAAGAGGGGAAAAGCGTTCAGATACGTCAAGCTCTAAAGCCTACATTCTGCCCACTACTCTGTCTGACCTCACTATGACAGAAATGATGGTCCTAGGAGTATGGATCCCTTAGGTCCTAAAGGTGGAGGGAACAACATTTTTAAAAGAGCCCTAGACCCAAGCTACCCACCATCTTGTGTCTGATAGGGCAAACTGACTTATTGAAATATTGGGACAAGCCACATTCCACATAAGTGGTCTCTTTCAGACCTCAACTTTCCTATGGGGATTGCACTATAAGGAACTGAAGATACAGCTCAATCAGTAGAGGGCTTGCCTTGCATGCATGAAACCCTGGGTTCAAGGCTCCTTAGCACAGTATAAAACTGAACATAGAGATGAAGACCTGTAATCCCAGCACTGGGGAGGTAGAGGCAGGAAGATCAGGAATTCAAAGTCATCTTCAGCTATATAGTAAGTTTGAGTCTAGCCTGGACTACATGAACTCCTGTCTCAAACAACAATAACAACAAAATTGTTCTAGCAATAAAAATATTCTAATCCAAGCCTTCATTTTACTCATAGGAAAACTGAACCCCAGATCAGGGCGACAAGCATTTCAAAGTCATACAGCAAGTTAGAATCAGGATAGACTAGAACCCTATCTCCTAATTCCTGGGTTCCTAGTTGCTCCCTTTTTTCTACTCCTTCCCCCAAGCAGTACCTCCAAGATTGCAAGCTGGTGACCCTGGATACCAACACATTTTTCCTTTCTCCACTGAACTCTCCCAGATTCCTAGAAAACCATGTAGAGTCCAGAACTAGAGTCAAATAATTTTATTTTATTTATCCTTTATTCATTCAACAAACATCAAGAGTCTGCTAGGCCCAAGCACTATGCTGGGTGCTGATTTTTAGAAATTTTAGAAATCCAAATATCATTAGCACCCGCCATCTTTTTTTAGTCTAAAAGCTGAGCACCTAAGTACAGTGCATGTACATGGTATGCATGTGTGTATTTGCAAATGTGTGCATGTCATGCATGTGTGTACTTGTGTGAGTTTCTTCCACATGTGCCACATGTGTGCAGAGGTTCCTCCCTTACATGTCTGTGGGTGTTCTTCATGATCTTCCATGCAGTGTATGTGCCCTGCCTGTCTGTTCATATTTGCCCACTCTTTCTCTCAAAATGAAGTCCCCAGTCACAAATCCCTGCCCCACTTCTCCCCCAGATCTCAGCCCAGACTATTCCAAAAACCTCCCAGGGATCTTCTTTGGCTCTCCCTCCTTACCAGATCTCTTTTTTATCTGCCCTTCCCCAACTGAGAAAATATTAAATCTTCCAGACCTTTCTTTATAATCTCCACTTTAAAGTGAAGACCTGGTCCTTTTTACAGAGGTTCCCTGTGCTGGATAGAGAACAGCCTTTCTTACCAGTCCATGGAGCCCAGAGCTGGCAGCAACAATGAGGGGCAAGTGGGGTGACAGGAGAGCCAGGCTTTATAAAGGAGGCGACAGTCAGAGCCAAAGAGGGAGGTGGGAGAGCAGGCAGGATGCTGCCAAGTCCTCGCAGCCTTAGAAGCTTTTAGGATAATCCAGGAAGCAGTGGCCCCACTCTCCTGGGGGAGTGGTAGGGGGTGAGAGCTGAGTCTCTTGGGTCTGCCAGGAAAGGAGGATTTTGGCTAGAAGAGGCAGCCGGGGTGGGGGCGGGGCAGGACTCAGGATTTCTTCCCCAGGGTCCAGTGGGCAGTGGGAGAGGGACCAAGTGGTTCTTGCGGGATGGAGGAAATGGACAAACACATTGCTAGAGATGAGAGCTCACTATGCTGGAACTCTCCAAATTCCACCCTCTCCCCCAACTTTGAGGTTTTTCT